ATAGATCATTTTGGGGTGGATGAAGCCTTCTTTTCATTTGATAGTGGTTAGTCTTATCCTTTATTCTGTTGGAATAGATCATTTTGGGGTGGATGAAGCCTTCTTTTCATTTGATAGTGGTTAGTCTTATCCTTTATTCTGTTGGAATAGATCATTTTGGGGTGGATGAAGCCTTCTTTTCATTTGATAGTGGTTAGTCTTATCCTTTATTCTGTTGGAATAGATCATTTTGGGGTGGATGAAGCCTTCTTTTCATTTGATAGTGGTTAGTCTTATCCTTTATTCTGTTGGAATAGATCATTTTGGGGTGGATGAAGCCTTCTTTTCATTTGATAGTGGTTAGTCTTATCGTTTATTCTGTTGGAATAGATCATTTTGGGGTGGATGAAGCCTTCTTTTCATTTGATAGTGGTTAGTCTTATCCTTTATTCTGTTGGAATAGATCATTTTGGGGTGGATGAAGCCTTCTTTTCATTTGATAGTGGTTAGTCTAATCGTTTATTCTGTTGGAATAGATCATTTTGGGGTGGATGAAGCCTTCTTTTCATTTGATAGTGGTTAGTCTTATCCTTTATTCTGTTGGAATAGATCATTTTGGGGTGGATGAAGCCTTCTTTTCATTTGATAGTGGTTAGTCTTATCGTTTATTCTGTTGGAATAGATCATTTTGGGGTGGATGAAGCCTTCTTTTCATTTGATAGTGGTTAGTCTTATCGTTTATTCTGTTGGAATAGATCATTTTGGGGTGGATGAAGCCTTCTTTTCATTTGATAGTGGTTAGTCTTATCGTTTATTCTGTTGGAATAGATCATTTTGGGGTGGATGAAGCCTTCTTTTCATTTGATAGTGGTTAGTATTATCCTTTATTCTGTTGGAATAGATCATTTTGGGGTGGATGAAGCCTTCTTTTCATTTGATAGTGGTTAGTCTAATCGTTTATTCTGTTGGAATAGATCATTTTGGGGTGGATGAAGCCTTCTTTTCATTTGATAGTGGTTAGTCTTATCGTTTATTCTGTTGGAATAGATCATTTTGGGGTGGATGAAGCCTTCTTTTCATTTGATAGTGGTTAGTCTAATCGTTTATTCTGTTGGAATAGATCATTTTGGGGTGGATGAAGCCTTCTTTTCATTTGATAGTGGTTAGTCTTATCGTTTATTCTGTTGGAATAGATCATTTTGGGGTGGATGAAGCCTTCTTTTCATTTGATAGTGGTTAGTCTTATCCTTTATTCTGTTGGAATAGATCATTTTGGGGTGGATGAAGCCTTCTTTTCATTTGATAGTGGTTAGGCTAATCGTTTATTCTGTTGGAATAGATCATTTTGGGGTGGATGAAGCCTTCTTTTCATTTGATAGTGGTTAGTCTTATCGTTTATTCTGTTGGAATAGATCATTTTGGGGTGGATGAAGCCTTCTTTTCATTTGATAGTGGTTAGTCTTATCGTTTATTCTGTTGGAATAGATCATTTTGGGGTGGATGAAGCCTTCTTTTCATTTGATAGTGGCTAGTCTTATCCTTTATTCTGTTGAGGAAGGTAGTCAATGAAACAATGATTTTCCTACCAGAATCTTCAAAATGTCACCACACGTTTTTTTTGTTAGCTGCTTTTTCACATTGGACATCAAATTAAAAGTGCTGTAAACCATTCACTGAAAGGTTTATTGACCAAGAATACTATGTTTAAAATTGGAATTGTACCAAAACTTGAATGAGGAGTTTCTAGATAGTGCTTATTTCAAAAAAAGATAAATGCAGTTCACACTGCAGGCATTTGTAACATACAGATGTGCTGAGAACCTAATTATAATTTTTCTTTTGTCTTTGTTGTAATGATATATTTTATTGTTAGAGAACTTGCACATGTTACTTTGGCTTTATTTGAAAAATGAAATAAGAGTTTGAAATGAATTTTAAAGAAAGCCTTATCATGTCATTTTACATTTTCAGGGCTTAGAAAAAGTGTGAAGTTAGGCAACATGATGTTTTTAGAGTGAGTATTGTAGATATAAGTATTATTAATTTATTGGTCTTATTAAAATTTGTCAATAATAACATGACAAACGCATATGGATGTTGTTGTATTAGTCTTAATGTTTTATTATGAAAATAAGGAGATATGATATGATTGCCAATGAGACAACTATCCACCAAAGTTCTAATGAAGTGGATGCAAGCAATTATCGGCCATCATACAACCTTTGATAATGAAAAAAAAAACATCCATAAAAAAAGGCCCCAACATGAAAAACGTTAAACAATTTTATTGAGAAAACTAATAAACTAATTTATAATAAAACAATTTAAAGAAAAACAAATATGACAGACATGAACCAACGAAAGCCATTGAACTACAGGCTCCTGACTTGGGACAGGCATATAAAGAATGTGCAGGTTAAACATGTTTGTGAGTACTCAACCCTCCCCTAACCTGGGACAGTGGTGTAATTGCATGACCTTGCGCAATGCTAAAATATAAGCAAACAGTAATTATAAGATGTAGGATCATTTGCTCTCATTACTGTACATATAAATATACAATATATGTACATAATATTTGAAAATATTTAATTTGTTTGTATGAGCTTTAGAAACTGGACGAAAAACGAGGGTGACACCTAGCTTTTCTCCTGTTTGTAGCGATTAAAAATAAATTTTATATTTTTCGATAATGTACATATATTGATTTTATCCTGCAATTTAAACCCAGCGCTTTGCAGTTTTAGTTGTTTAAATCCAAATAGTTCTCTCTGATATTTCATAAAATTGGCTGAATTTAAATGTGGACCGCGAAAAGGACCAAAAAAATGAACTTTTACCTAAAAGGAAACATTCATTTTCTGTTTGCTCAATATGGAAGCAGAGTAACAGGAGACTTTATTTGTACAAGGCAGGCATGGGGTAATGCTAATTTGTAATTGTAATGCCCTGTAATGCATTACATTTCTCTAAGCAATGCATGTAATGTGTAATGCCCAAATTTTTTGCATTACATGTAATTGTAATGTAATGCATTACATAGGCAAAAATGCATGTAATTTATGCATTACATGGCATTACATAGCATTACTTCTTGTCTGATAGTGCTATATATTTATTCAAATTTCAGGGATAATAAGTACTACTGTTTTATTCTTTCCTTTAAGAAAATTAAACACAAATCAATGTCTAGTTAAAGGATTAACAAAAAGTGTAGATTTGAACTGTTGTAAAACTAATGATTTTCTTCATCTTACCTTAATACTAAAACATTTATACTAATAATTAAGACAGATCTATTTTATTAACATACAAAAGTAATATTATTTTTGATTTGCAGTCATTTTCATATACCATTATAGTCATTGAAAAACCTATACATAGATATTTAAAGATAGAAGAAATAAGTTGAATGATTGATAATTGACACTTGACAAAAACCACTAATTAGTTTGTATAGCAATCAATTCCTTTCTTTTGACAAGTGAATTTGTGATTCTAAAGTAATTAATTAACATTGAGATTAAGTTAACAATATAATAAAAAATCATCATGGAAGAATAAATTCCTTACAACATTTCTGTTATTTCTTTTTTGAGAAAACACAGAGATGTATACTACGAAATATAAAAACCTGACCAGAAGAACAATCAACCTTTGCAAATTTTGTAAACCCATCAGCTTGTATTCAGAAATATCAATTAATTAAATGACCCAAAGCAAAACAAAGGGTGTGATCACGTTTCTCCAACATTTGTTAAATAGACTAAAACAACATTAGGGATTAGGGGGTCCTCTTAAGGACTGACATCTTGATATTTACCTGTAATTCGAAGCTATAGATTCACTTTTCGAGTATATTGTTAGAAGTGATTTACTCCCATTTTCAACAGTTGAAAGTCAAAAGTTTAAGAACTTTATAGAAAAGCTTAACTCAAAATTTCAAATTCCAAGCAGGAAACATCTCTCATCTAAATTGATACAGACTAAGGCCAAGGATGTTTGTCAAAAATTATATGATAACCTTCAGGAAGTTAATCACATTTGTTTGACAGTTGTCATTTGGTTTAATAGGGCAATGAAGGGATTTTTATAATACCTATTTAATAGTTACCAAGATTACAGTATAAAATGTTGTATATGTTTCTTTTGATAATAAAATTTATAAAATGTAATGTGTAATATAATGCATTACTTTGGTAAAGTAATTGTAATTTAATGCATTACTTTCCAAAATACATGTAATTGTAATTGTAATATAATGATGGTTTTGTCCAAGTAATTGTAATGTAATGCATTACATTGCAATGTAATTCGCCCCATGCCTGGTACAAGGACAAATAAAGCAAAAACTTATTTGTATACCTGCTATTTGCACAGTTGTCTGATTGCAGGATAAAGCGATTTACATTTAGTTTCAATTTTCTAAAAACAAAATCAATGTTGATACCACAAAAAACAATATTTAAAAATTTTACTACTTAATTTCTTGCAAATTGTTGATTCTTTACCAATGTTATTGAGATCCATGCAGAAAAAAATTTGAGGTGTTGAAGTGAGAACCAAAACTTTATTCGTAAATCTTTGGTGAATTCTACATCTTTGTTTTATTGCTACAGCAAATATTAATTTCAATACTTTTATTTTTAATAGCTCTTGATATAACTTGAATTAAAACTAATAACTGTAAAGAAAATTGGTTAAGATGATTTATGCAGAATACAAACGAAATTCTAAAATAAATCTAAAATATCAATTGCTTTTTATTTGTTTATCATTGTGATTTGCTATTTTAATTGTTCTGTTTCTATATAAACAGTGATAGTTTATTAATAGCTTAAACTCAGGACAATTCAGTTTCATTGTTAATAACAAATGAATTTTTGTTTTCAAAGATTGCAGATTTTACAATACTGTTTGTTTGCAGTTATATTTCTAATTCCCCCCAAAAAATAAAAATCCCTGGATCTACATAATTTTGGTTATAATTCTCTTGCAGTTTTATGGTGATTGATCTGCAAGCTGAAAAGAAGTTCATTGTTAGTATGAATGCAAGTGTTTGTTTAGAAGAAGGAAAAGCATGTGACATAACTTTAATGATTGTCGAGGACCTGTATCTTCCAAAAATTGCTTGTGATTGGAGTATCAGTTTAAACAATTTCTCAGCATCAGATTTCTTAGCCAAGCAAGGACTTTCTCTCCAAAACCAATTGACAGACATTGTAGTGAAGCAGATTTTAGAGAGACTTGGTATAGCTGAATACCTACAAGATCCACAGTGTGACATCGACAGTCAAATGTACCAATCACTACCAGGAGATCCTGTGGGTTGGAGAGATGGTGAGTTTATTTATATGTATTGAAGGTAGTAATGGGAAAGTACAGTTGTTGTAATGTAACTATAGAACCTCGACCTATCAATTGGGCATGATTAGCTTACATACAGGATTAGTTAGTTAACACTGCTTTCCATCCGTTATGTAACATTTTGGTTCACTGTTTTCTCAGGAACTACAAATCCTAGCTTACTGAAATTGATGTTAAGCTTCATGTGAGCTTACAATACTATGTTATATATTTTCAAATTCATCGTTCATCCGCTTCCTGTTTACCAAGAAGGTGTACTGGAATATTCTTATTATAATGGCAACATATGAAATTTTTGTTGCAATTTTCTCAGGATCTATAAATCAGTGCTCAAATTTGGAACAAACCATGCTATACCCTGAGATGTGTTTTCAAATCCATTCCTCATTTAATTTCTTTTTACCGAATACTCAAAGCAGGCGTATTGAAGACCTATTGGTGGCCTTCGGCTGTTGTCTGCTCTTTGGTCGGGTTGTTGTCTCTTTGACATATTCCCCATTTCCATTCTCAATTTTATGTATGATAAGTTAGCCATATCTTACAGTTCAACATGTTAACGATGTTTTCTTGATTTCAGAATGTATTGGAGGATTAGGAAACCTAACAGCACTGACTCCATTATCTCTAGCCACACCAAAGGGATACGTCGCATCACGCTGTACTTACATCGACTTCTGTTTAGATATACCACTACTGAGGAAGTCATTGCATGCTTACTTTGACCTCAATATGTGTGAAAGGTCATTCAAGATTGGTATAGAAAAGCTTGTCATTGATTTGGACTTCCTGACCTACGCCTGGGGTAAGTTTAAGTTTCTGTACATACGTCAGGGATAAATTTTAGTATATAAGGGTTGTGTATAGTATATACTTAAATAATAAGAACAAAGCTGAATGCTTTTAAATGGTTAGTAATTTGTAACTAACAATGTTATTTTTTTCTGTATTTCTATCATTAACCTACAAATGAAATTTTCTGAAATAAAATTAATGACAATTTTAAGATATTTAAACAAACCTAATCCAAGAATTTTAATGTTGAAAAATATTCATCATATTTTGTGACAAAACAACCCATATTTCATGAATGAGTGAGTTATGTGTGTCTGTCAGTCATGAGTTTGATATTTTTTCATATTTGAATTCTAGGATTTTTTCTCATTATTACATTGATTTTTAATATGAATATAGTAGAAAATGCAAGGTAGTATATTTTTTTCTATACATTCTCACCTTATGTTGATGTAAATTTTTGGACACCAATTTGACAACACTTGTACAACTCTTGTACTATTGTTGTATTGTAATAAAATATAGTTCCAATAGGAAAAATATTCATGAATATTTCCCACTAGAACAAATTTCACAGAATTTTTTCCTAATGAAATAAGTTGCATAAAATATTTGTTACAACAGGAACAGATATTTTGGCATAGTTTTCAGAGGAACTTCTCTTAGCAGAACAAACATATGTTGACATTATGATGTGAGTTACTGAAGTGTATATTTTTTAAATGCAAATTATAGGTTTTTATTTGACTGTGAAGACAGTATGTTTTGCAACCAATGTTATAATTATTTTCATTTAAAAAAATGTTTATGTATTTTTACAGGACAGAAAGATAAAAGAGATTTGTTAGATGCCTACATATTTGAGTAAGTTTTGCACCTCTTTAAAAGGTCTATTCCAGAAATGATTGATGTTTTGTTGGTGTGTGTGTGTGAGGGATGACGGGAGCTGAATAAACCAAAATGGAAGAGTTCTTGTATTTTGCCGTAGAAATTTTTTCGAGATTTGTGTAGAATTTTGAAAATTGGTTTTGATAGGAAGTTTGTGTTTAAAATAACCAACCCTGATTCTTAGACATTAATTTACAGTCATAATACAGTAACATGTTTATATAATTCAAACTAATTTAAAAAAAAAAGACAAAAGCCAAAACAGATAATTTTAAAATGAAATGCAAGTTTAATGTAAAATGTCAAGTGTCTTGAGTCTTGCTTTAAATTGGATTACTCTGAGTAGAAAAAATTCATATGAGTATTGTAGATTCATTATTATTTGTGGTACACCAATTTTCATGGATTTCATTTGTAGGGAAACCAAGAATTTTAATACTAGATGAAATGCAAATTTTATATACTTTGATTGGGCAATATAATAAAAGTCAAGACCACAGAATATAGTACTTATGAAATATAAAGTTTTTCTCCAACCAATAAATTTAATACCAAAGAAATAATTCAAATACACGGTATATGAATTATCAGCTATAATGAAAGAAGACATGTTGAAACAAAATGTGTTTTACCTCTTTATCTCACAATTCTAATATTGGCCAATTTGTATTACAGTTTTCTAGTTGACTACAATGAAGATGATGAGTATTTCCGTTTAGACCTCAACATGAGCATGTACTTAGATAGAAGTGAACAGTATGTGACATTTGTACTCTTCAAGAGACAAGTTCTACCAATTCTTGTCTGTGACTATGATACAAGTTATGGAGTACCAGGTAATTCTTATGGAATTTTCTCAAAGAAAGCTTGTTGGTTATTGTGGATTTTAGAAGTCCCTTCATATCCCCTCGCATCCATGGAAAGCCCTAAATTTTAAAATATTTGCATTTCCACTGGTCTATTTTGATAGCGGTATAGACAAATAAAATGGCAAAAGTTAGAGGTGTTGAGGACAATTTTCCCATAACCACAATATACAGTTTTAATGAAAATGTGTTTTCCTTCATGTATAAAGTAATTATACAGCAGGGGACTGTACCCTCTTCTTCGATTCCATAAGGAATAAGGCATAACATAGTTATACTACATGTTTTTATTATTTCTTATTATCTATTGGAAATTATTGCATGCATTTATTATTGTCATTTGTGAAGACTGAACAAAAATGTGAGATTAATTATTGAGATTTCAGGAAAGGCATCATACAGATATATTTATCAGATTTCAGAGTTTTTATTATTGCGATACTCACCCTGTCTCATTAACAAAACACTTGCACTAATGTCTGAATTTACAGTAACATGAGGATTAAAATACTTAAATTCTTAATAATTTTTGAAGCTTTTCATGCATAATGATCTAACTAATTTGTTTTAGGGTTCAACTTAAACAGTTGGTATACTTATCATAACATACCACAGGGATCACTACTGACACCAGCCATGGCATCAAGTTTACTGGAATTCCTGAAAATAGGTGAAATGATGTCTCCCACACAGTGTCAACCCTCGGGAACTAAATACAGTCCATCAGTTGGTGGATGGAAAAATGGTAAAAACTATTTCTCCCTGCATTTTGATTATATATATTTATATATTGACATTTTAAAATAAAAAAAAAAATGTAGATACAAAGGGGCATTAAAAAATTGCATGTAAAAAATATATAAAAACATTAACAACACCATGGATAAAATAAAAAGGACAAAACGATATACAACAAACCACAAAACACTACACAGAAAACTACAGATTTGGCAGGATGACCCCAATTAGAAACTTGGTATTAAACCAGGTGATCTGGAATGGTAAGCAGTTCCTGCTCCACTAGTTGCAACAATTAATTATGAACTATTCGTAAAATGTAAAAAATATAAATAGCTAATCATAAATGGAGAAGAAACATTACTGAAGTAAATAAGAAGATGTGGTATGAGTGCCAATGAGACAAATCTCCATCCAAGTCACAATGTGTAAAAAGTATAAAACATTTATAGCTAGGTCAAAGAATGGCATGAGCATGTATTATTCAAAGTTTTGAAATGAATATAGGGAAAGTTCTTTCAGTTAGTGACCTGGAATGGAAAAAGAAAAAAAAAACATTGAAACTGTTAAAAGATATATATTATATTCATTACTTTCAAATATTTTTATAGGGTGTCTACTTGATGTTCCCATGGCAACACTCCATTCATCAACAGTAGGATCCATTGCTGAAGTGTGTACAGCTGTAGATTTCTGTTCAGATGTTGATTTCCTGGGACGTCCATTCCACACATACATTGACCTAGATCCATGTACAAACATAGGCAAAATTGGCATTGAACGATTTAGTCTAAAGTTAGATTTGACTGATGCCACCATTTTTGGTAACTATTCATTTTTTTTCATGGCAGTTCATCCATTATTTAAATGGTTTTAGGTTTTATTCAACCTATTGCTCCCTCATAGAATAAAAAACATGAAGATACATACACTTGTGCCTTGTTTATGTTGCTTTACTAATTGTAGAAACATTTTATTTTGTGAAAATAATTATTTTGAAAAAGGAAATGTATAGAGAGGGAGTATTTGACATTCAACCCTTTTATTGTGGTAGGTTATTTGTTTAACAAGATCATAACTCAATCTTATGTTATTCTGTGCTATGAGTATTTCATCAAAGTTTCATCAAAATGCACTTTTTCTGAACTGAATTTAAAACTTGGATTTAAAAATAAAGTTGTCATAAATTTTCCTTCTTTTTCTTTTTCTTTTTCATAGACTTGTCCAGTAAAGTGAATATAGAAAAGTTAATAAAAAATTATGATATGATTTTTTTTCAAAATTCACTGTTGATTTCAATTATTTCTATTTATTGTTACAGATGTGGAGAAAAAGTTTAATTTGAAAGGAGTTGTAAAGTTGACGTGAGTAGAGTTTTAATTTATGGAATCATTAAAGTTCATTACAGCTTTTCTATAAAAGCATGCAAAGCAAACCTTTGATCGACTTGATTGCTATGTTTGCTTGGATGTTTGTAAACAAAAGGGTAGGCGGAGTTTCAGTCTGTTTAATATATACTGGTATTTGATTGGACAATAAAAATTGACATACAATGTGAAACTTAACATTTAAATGAAGTTAATGTTTATTGTCCAATCAAATTCCAGTATATAGTAAACAGACTGAAATAGACTACCTACCTATTGTTTACAAACATCCAAACAAACAGAGCAAGCAAGTTGATCAAAGGTTTGCTTTGCATGCTTTTATAGAAAAGCTGTAAAACAGAAAAAGTGTTGAAGTAATCATAGTTTCAAATTTTTTGGCAAAGAAATATTGGTATTTTACTAACCTGAATAATTCAGACCCTCCCCTTGATTGACACTCCCACTTGCAATGGCCTGGACATTTCATACGATAAAAACATGTCATGAATAGAGGAAGTATGAATGGCGCTCTCTGTATGAGAGAGCCAATCAGCTGATAGCTTAAGGTATTGAGATAGGCAAATCCCAAGCAAATTCCAAATGAATAATTGACGATTTTTTTATTGACTAGGCCTTCAGGCAATAATGAAGCCCTCATAGAGCAGCGAAATATAACGGCTGAAAAATTTGGGTTAGTCTTCATTTTGAGAAAGGACATAATACAAATTCTGACTTTGGGGTCTTATTGATCATTGAGTAGCTTGTTAATGTTTGTTTTCTAGATATAAAATCGAGAAGTTCCCAGTAGAGCGTCAATACAGAGTCAACCTTAAAGTCCAGATATGTTTCAACAGTTCCTCTGTATGTGGGATAGAAATGGATCCCTTCACTGATGCTATGATCCCATGGAGACAGTGTGCCTGGGATCTGCCATATTCAACATCAGGTAAGTTAACTTATTTTACTGTCCTACAACTTGTTTTACTAAGACTATATCACTTATTTCAAGTAAGTAGGGTATTAATGAAAATGAGATAGTAATTATTCTTATGATAAAAAATCTTGCCATGTCATTTGGGAAAAGTGATCCCAACTAATTTGTTGCCACTTTACTGAGTAAAAAAGTGATGCAAATATTAATTGTCTTGAATATGTATAACTTAGATCTTTCCTTATATCAATACATAAAACAAATTACAAAATACACAGATAGAATAATGAATGACTTGGAAGACAGCATAGAGTTCAGAAGTCAAACAAAAATAAGTTTTCTGAACTTATTCACAGCTGTAGATTAACCAGTTCAGAAAACAATTACAACATTAATGGCACCAAAAAAAGTCATCAGCGAGATAATACATTTTTTTCCCCCAAAAAAAAACCATTCTTCTGTGTACCCCTGTTAGTCAATACAAACTGACATTGTATTTTATTCTCAAAAATCGTCATTTAAGGGAAATTCAATTTCTACCTTGTAATTGAAGGCAGATTTTTTTTATTTCAGGGTTTTCATTGCCTAGTCACTTGACCAGTATTGGTAAAACTTCAGGACAGACATTCACTTCACAGGAAAAGACTGATCTGTTTAACTTGCTTGGAATAAACTCCTATGTCTTGGGAACACCCTGTGCACTGGCTGATTATTCACCCATAAGTGCAGAGAGATGGCAAAAAGGTAAAGTTTTCATTATGTTTTGTTCTAGGAAGCTTTCCTTTGCTCTATTACACTAGTGCAACTTATCTCATAGATCATGTTTATAAATGCTCTTGATCATAATTTTTTTTAAATCTTTAAAAACAAGGCAGTTCATCTTTTTTTGCTGGTTTGATTTTATAGGTTCTGCAAAATTTTTGTTATACAAGGATATTCTATAATCTTACACACAAACTTTTTTCAAACTTAATTTTTCCTTTGCATAATTTTCATTTAAATTTCATACCTTTTTGAAAGGAAAATAAGAAATCTGAATTTAATAATTTAATTGCGAAACATTGTTTAACCTTCACTGAGTACACTCATATATCTTAGGAACATTGTATAGTTGATGATTGTTCATTATCAGCAATTTGTACATTTTCCCTTTGATCTTACTGCCTAACATTCTTAAGATCATGGACCGGAGTACTTGATACTCGAAAATATTAGGCAATTACATCATGTATCAATGCAGCAATGTCACATGCTTTATTCCATCCATGTCAATTTTTGAATGAAATGCACGCTACTTCATTCATTCAACCAAACAACTATCCCAATGTTTTGTGTGTGTAAAAGTAGTTTTACTAATTATTTCATTTCACATCATATTCTCAACCAAACAAACATGCAGTTAAGACACATTGCTGATATTAAAGAATAATTAATGGCATTTTATTTGTATGCCCCACCTAGGGGCATTACGTTTTTCAGTCTGTGTATCCGTTCGTTCATTCTACTGCTGTCCGTCTGTCCGTATGTCTGTTTGTCCTTCTGTCCTGCTTCAGGTTAAAATTTTTGGTCAAGGTAGTTTTTGATGAAGTTGAAGTTCAATCAACTTGAAACTTAGTACACATGTTCCCTATGATATAATCTTTCTAATTTTAAAGCCTAATTAGAGTTTTGACCCCAATTTCACAGTCCACTGAACATAGAAAATGAAAGTGTGAGTTGGGCATCCATGTACTATGAACACATTCTTGTTTGATACTGACTTCATCAGCTACAATATTAGCTGGCCCTAGTGTGATTGCTTGATATACTTGCTGATTAAGTCAGTATCAAAAACAAAAATTCTATATTTATCAGTAGTTGTTGTATATGGATGGTGCAGGCAGTAGTTCATTTTGTTTAAGATTTATTCAATTCTCATATAAAACTTTTCACAGATTGTACAGCAGACGTCACTTTGCCAACATTACCAGCCAATGCAGCATGTAACATCCATGATAAGTGTACTGCTGTAGATTGTTGTATGTACACTGACTTCCTGCAACAGGGTTTCCATTCATTTGTTGAACTTGATCCCTGTAATCACAAACTTAAGTTTGGTATAGAAAGAGTGTCAGGAACAGTAGATCTCAATGGATATGCATTTGGTAAGTTTCTTTTAATGTGTGAATAATCTTTTACAATGTTTATGATGTTAGTTTTCATTTTTCATTAAATTATTAGAGTACATTTGAGAACCTGTAAGTTGCTTGAAACCAGTTTAGTTACAGTTATCCAGAAAAAAAAGGAAATAATTTTGTTTTTAAACAAAATGAATTTAATTACATTGGGGAAACATGGTGATTGTATGGGTTGTAAGGGTCTTTTTACTCCTGCGGCCCAAGCAATTTGATATATATGGGTAAATACTTGCTTCTTAGGGAGGAATACTAACGTTTCCCATTCAATAATTTGCCTTTTTACTTTTTTTTGTAATCACTTAGAATTATTTAGAAATGCTGATGGCATTGAATGAAATCCTATAATAACGTCTAATGAAAACAGTTTAATAAAAAAACTTATTTTATTTGTAGGAGTTGAAGAGACAAGAACAATGATGAATGTTGTCAGACTCACGTAAGATATTGCTGAAAGAGGATGTGTTTTTTATGAGACGAATTCAGTCATGAATTACTAGAAAATAACAAATCATAAAAAGAATATTGTTGTTCTTCATCTGAACAGTTTCTTAAAGTTCTTCTACAATAGTTGTATAATCTTACAGGTCTCACCATATAGACCCTATAAGTCAAATACTTTGAATATTTTCAAAAGTTAGGCCACATGAAATTAAATCTTATATTATCATTCTCCTTCCTCAAAGAAGGGAGGATATATTATGCCCCCGCTGTAGCAGAGGGGGAATTAAGAGTTACCCATGTCCGTTCGTCCTTCCTGTCTGTCCTGTTTGTCCGTTGAACATCCCCAAAATTGGTTTCCGTTCTTTAACTTTAGTTTGCCTCAACCAAATATTATAAAACTTATACACAATGCATATTACCACAAAACACAGATAAAGTTTTAAATTGGGTGTCGTCACTTTAACCGTTCCTGAGTTATGCCCCTTTATAAACATAAAATTTGCTGAATTTTTCGTTTCCTTTCTCTAACTTTAGTTTGCCTCAACCAAATGTTATGAAATTTATACACAATGCTTATAAGTGAATCCCGCATCTGTAGGTGGAATTTGACTCATGCATATTTACAAGCGGGGGTGTGGCCCATAGACACATTCTCCATTTATTTTTTTATTATTTTAAAATTTTCTTTTGAGAGAACTATGTTTTGAAATATTATATAGAATTGGCATTTCAAGAAAAATTCAGACAAGGTTAAGTTTTTGAATATAAAAAGAAATTGGATACTGCAGATTCATTATAAGTTGTGAAATACTAATTTTTTGGGTAGTAGTAATCCATGATGAAATAATTATTGCCTATAGGCTTGTATGCAGAAGTTTTCAAAACCATGAATTCAAGTATCCACAAATAACAATCTTTCCACAATTCGCTTAAAAAATGATTTTTCGTTTTTAGTTGACATATGGAGGAATAAATCATAACTGACATGAAATAACACACATGCACAGTTGAAATTAAAAAAAAATATGTTTTTTTAAGCCTGCGGTTACATCAATGTATGAAGGTAAAAAGGATTGATATGGTTGTATACATTTTCAGATATACAATCACAAACCTACAGTCTGCAGGTAAATACCAGTTGGATATGACAATGAAGATCTGCTTTAATTCATCAATGTCATGTGACTTTGAAATGACTGTGTTCAGTGGTACACAGCTTCCCAAACAGTATTGCTTCACTGGTTCAACTTTCTTTGATCCAGGTATGTTTATGAAATAGTTTCTTTTAAAATGGCCTGACCCATTTCATTTTATTTTACTTTAAGTTTTTCAGTATATTAAGTATCAATTCTAATAATTTGTGATCAGTGGTCTTTTGTATGGAATTTTCAAATTTCCTTTCAACACCTCAGTAATAAGAAATATGTAAAATAGAGTTAGAATGATGAGTGTAATTATGTGAATAAACATTAATGCAGTATCTCAAAAGTCTTATTTGGAACATAAAAGAAATTGAACAGATTGATGATAATGTTCATAAAGATTATTTTTTTAACAATTCTCATATATGCATAAATTTTGATATTTTTCTTACAGCATTTTCACTGAACAACTTTTTACTGACTGAGAATCAAGCTAAGGTCGATCCATTACCATCAGCGACAACAACCAAACTGTTACAAGATACTGGAATCAGTGACTACCTTCAAGTAACTGCATGTGATCACTCTGTCTCACCTTTCACCACAGCTAATGGCAGACTGAATGATGGTAAGGACATGGCTCATAGTTCACATGACTTTATCAGAATATTTGTAACAATTTTCAATGGTTCTTTGACTTACCACTTCATCTCATACCTTGATTTAGTTTGGGTGAACTCATTAAGAGAAAGCATATAAAAACTAATGTTATCAGAGTAAAATTTTATACAGTATATATTTACATGCACAGTTTCTCAGGTATTTAGTTTTCATCCATTAAATGATTAACAGTTAATATATGTACATGATAAAAAAAATTAAAATGACAAATTTGAACTCAAGAGATGATAAATAAAACATGAAAAGTGTTTCTCATGTGGACGATAGGGACCTTAATTTACAGATTTAATTTAAAAAAAGAAAGAAAAAACAATTCTTTGCCATGTATGATGATATATAATGAAGAAGATGTAGAAAAGAAAAAGGCAAAACTTTGAAATGAAATTGTAAGGTTGCAAGGATGTAAAAACATATTTGTTTTTCAGAATGTGGTAAACTTGAAGACTCCATTACTCTACCAGCAGATGTATCATTAAACATCCAATCAGACTGTACATCAGTTACTATGTGTTCTGACATTGGGTATATTGATAAGAAAATCCAGTCTACAGTGAAACTGGATCCCTGTACATATGAAATCACTCTTGGCATTGAAACAATGGAGGCTACTGTGTCCTTGTTACAGTTCCAGTGGGGAAAACCACAATCCTTTGCCTTACAAGGAGGAATTAGAATGGAGTAAGATTATTGTTCATAGGATAAATCTGTAGCAGAAAGCAATTTAAGAAATAATATAAGAATATTTATTTATTGGAACCTTTTAAGTGTTGCCAGAGTGTGACAATAGCTTTGGAATTGAAAAGTTGGTGATTAAAATACACAGACAAGACATATCTCAGTGTTTATACAGTTTATGTTGATTTTGTAATCTTCCAAAAGGAATATGAAATCAACCTAAACAAAAACTTGGTACTGATTGTGTACTATGTTATTTTTGAAACCTGTCCAAAATAACTTTTGAGTCCTTAATGCATTTTAAACAGAACTTTTACAATGATAATATTTCTAATGAACAGAACTATGGATTTTTATAGATATTCTGAAAGTATGCCACATGAACTGAGAAAATATTATAATATTCAATATTCACTTTGTGGAAACAACCCCTCTGACATGCTTCAATAGTGCATGGAAATTTGTAAGTTGTAAGGTCCCATGATTAGTACGATATCCTGGTTTATTAACAAATTCCAGAGTTATCTCCCTGTGTACATATAATTTTTGTTATACTATTGTGTATTTTGAATGGATTATAAACCATAGAAATCTAAATTAACATGCCCATCATTTCTGTAAAAACATAGCTGTGTGTGATAAAATAGATATTTGGGGCAACCAAAAAGTGGAAGCAGTGGTCTGGATCTACAGTTCTAGTTCTGCTCTATATGGAACTTGTTAATTTTTTTTAAACTATTTTCCAGCTATGTGATCCATGACTTAACCAGTGAAGGAATGTACCTGGTATCTGTTGACATGGGTCTGTGTATGGAGACCTCACTAATATTTCTTATTTCATACTATTTTCCAGCTATGTGATCCATGATTTAACCAGTGAAGGAATGTACCTGGTATCTGTTGACATGGGTCTGTGTATGGAGACCTCACTAATATTCCTTATTTCATACTATTTTCCAGCTATGTGATCCATGATTTAACCAGTGAAGGAATGTACCTGGTATCTGTTGACATGGGTCTGTGTATGGAGACCTCACTAATATTCCTTATTTCATACTATTTTCCAGCTATGTGATCCATGATTTAACCAGTGAAGGAATGTATCTGGTATCTGTTGACATGGGTTTGTGTATGGAGACTTCAGACAGAGACAGTTGTGATGTTAAACATGCAGTGTTAGATAATGTCAAACTTCCAAAGAAGTCCTGTAACTGGAACAGTGGATTTGCATTCTCTGGCAATCCAAGTAAGAAAAGTCAATGTTTTGTTATAAATGTTTTCTTCTCCTTTCTGTTAAATTATAATTTTAAAAGTTGTATATTTTTTTCAATCTTGATGGAGATTGTACACAGACTTTCGATTTGATTTTTACATATCCATCCTCTTAAATCTAATATTTGACCATCAATTTATTAGAAGGTCCACTATTGCTTGTCAAATGAGCTTTGGTCATTATAAATCACTTGAAGTGACATATTTTAAATGTTATAGATTTTTTAAGCAGTTAAGCTGCTTTATGCGAGCACCCTAGATTTGTGTTCTACCCAATAAATGCTGAAATATGTGCCATTGTTATTATCTGGCTGGCTATTATGTTATTTATAACTAATTGAACACTTTTTTCATACTTTTAATTCTGGAATACAAAAAATATGACCAGAAAAACCTTAAATGATCGTCGAACCACCCAAAAGTTTTGAAGTTGCACATAGGAAGTAGTGCTCAATAGAAATCCTTATGTAGTTTATTATCCCCTGTGCTTTTGGCCAAGATGTCAAAGAACAATTGCATGAATTATTTCATCGCCGAAAATCTCTAATTACAAGTCGTTTACAGTTGCCAAATGGCACAAAGCGCAGGAATATTGTATAACGGCTGTGACTAATATGACACGGAGTTGAAGTCTCAGTTGGCGGTAATTTTAACTTCGTCGACAAAACGTAAATCAAGGACGTTTTAAATTTGGTGATTTCTGATAATAATCATTTTGTTCAACCGCTAGCTTTATACCGAAAATCGCCAACATGTTATGTGTAAATCCGAGTAAATCGTATCTGACTGACAAAAACAACATTGAAAAACAATGGATGCCATAAACCGGAAATGAAGACAATTATAATACCGGATCTAATTCCAGGGGCGGATAAGGGTAATTCCGGGTTTGCCGATCAAATACAATAAAAATATAATAATTCCAGGCATGAGACAAAATACATCTATCATGATGAAATATAAACTCTATAATTGAAAACCAAAGATATATTGAAAAGAAAGAAAAAGCAGGAAATATTTTATACAGAAACTCAAAATTACTTTTAGTTCACAAATGTTCATGTCAAAAACCAATAAAATGTGACAGTATTTTCCTTATCATTAATAAATATTGATATTACATGTAGATGTTTTTATTGTTTAAACATATTACTACAATTCCATGAGGTAATTTCTTCTCAATTTTGAAGGGCCTATAAAAATCTGGAAGTTTCTTACTTTATTTTCACAGAGGAACTAGCTAATATAATATATAGTGCAACTAGATAGGATACACTTAAACAGTTTTGAATTTGAACTGTTTAATATAATGGTATAATTAGTAATAAATAATCAATTGTTGAGACAACACACCCACCCACAGTGATACCCTCAGCCTCCCTCAGCCTTCCTAATACAAAAAAAAAAGATTATTTGAATTCATAAATTAATATACAAGACAATCACATTTATTATTAAACATGTTAAACGACAGTGACACTGTAAATGAAACAAGCTAACTTAATACCAAAAGCACATTAAAGTATCTTACTGAGTTATGAACTATTTCAAGTAAAAGCAGGACCTGGAATTTAGGTTGTGGACCTTTCAGTTTGGAGTGTCAAAGGTCCTGGACTGTCCAGTACCAAATGTTAATTTTAACCCCTGCATTCACAGTAAAGCGATTTTGACGTGTATTGCAATTCCAAGTAGAATTTACTTTTGGACATTAAACGTTTCGAATGCGTATTAAACTAATTCAAATCAGTTAATAATGTGAATCGAATTCGAATTATGTGTGAACGCAGCATTGATATATCTAAGAAATGAAGAATATTAAAAAAAGATGGACAAAATATTTGTATTAAATTTGTTGCAATTTTTGTCTTGCCTTGACAGAGTCAAAAAGTGAGACATATATATATATATATGTAGGCATGCTGTTTTGGCGGAATCAACAATGTATTAGTTCGTGATTTTGTGATAAGGTCTGGTTTCTGGTAGGTCAATGACATTTTGTAAGTAGTTGTGTTAGCATAGGCACATCTCATTACCATAGAGAATATTTGGCCCCACCCCCTTAGTCATGGTCTATTGACTTTGAAACTTTGCATAGTTTACATGTATATGTTTGTGATTAGGTCAGTTTAGGGGGAACCACTAGTGGTAGGTCAATGATATTTGGTGTGCAGTTGTATAAACTTTTTCATTTCTAATTTCCATTGAGATTATTTGGCCCCGCCCCCTCAATCATGCTCTTTTTACTTGGAAACTTATGTTACTTTGAAATTTCATTTATTAGTTTTCGATTAGGTTAGTATTAGGGAAACCAATAGTGGTAGGTCAATGATAATTGGCATGTAGGTGTAGAAGCATTAGTACGTCTCATTTCCATAAAGGATATTTGGTCCTCACCCCTCAGTCATATGCATGATCTATTGACTTTGAAACTTTTACTTAGTTTACATGAATGAGTTTGTGATTATTATGATTATGTCAGTTTAAAATTACCAGTAATCTTAAGTCAAAGCTATTTGGTATGCGAACGTATTGGTATTCAAAAGTTTCATTTCCATGGATATTATATAACCCCACCCCCTCATTATGGTTCATTGACTTAGAAATTGAATTTGTGTTAAGGTTTGTTTAAAGGGAACGACTTATGAAAAGTCAATGGTATTTGGTTTGCAGTTGAACAAGCATTGGCACCTTTCATTTCCATAGAGATTGTTTAGCCTTGTACCTTCAGGCATGGTTCATTGACTTTGAATATCACTTACATGTTAAAGTATTACTATTTTAAGTGTAACATTTGCATTATCAAAATAACAAATAGGCAAAACATTACGTTGTGTTAATAGCTTATTATAGATTAGACATGTGTAATTATTATAAAAATAAGGAGATGTGGTATGATTGCCAATGAGACAACTATCCACCAAAATTCAAATGAAGTGGATGTAAGCAATTACAGGCAACCGTACAGCCTTCAAAAATATATGTTGCATCATTGCTAGGCCATTATAACAACATCAACATTTCTTGTAATACTAGTATACAAGAAAATTACACCATTTCAGATAGTTTCAGGTATGATTTGATAATTGTGCATAGTGGCACCAGCTGATCCAACTAAAAGCGCTAATATGGCATATTCAAACTCTAGTACATAGTGGAATTAAACCATACACCACTGTTGGACACCATAATTGAAATTATTATTCTGAAAAGAATATTCCTCCATGCAGCCTGCAACAATTAGCAAAACCTATACTGCATAGTAAGATATAAACGACCACGAAATGACAAATGTAAAACAATAAAACTAAAGCAGCCTGATTTATGTACAAAACAATTATGAAAAATAAATATGATATACAGCAACAATCAACAATCACCAAATTACTGGGTCCTCCCTATGGACAGGTACATACAGAATGTGGCGGGTTAAACATGTTAGCTGGCACAAAACTCTCCCCTAACATGGGACAGTGTATGTGCATAATCTCAGACATTAAATCTTTAAAAAATAAATTGGAAATAACTTTTGAAAGTGGTAGGATTGGATAGCAGAAACATTACGGTACAAACATTATTTGATACTTGAGAAATAGCTGAGATATATAGATTCTACCACTGCATCGAGTGTGATACGATATTTATCCACTCGAGACAGTTAAATTTTCAAATTTAAAACGCGAGGCTCGCCGAGCGTTTTAAATATTTAAAATTTAACTGTCGAGAGTGGATAAATATCGTATTACA